TGCTTCCAGAAAAAGGCTTGAAATAAAGCTTCTGTAACAATGGTAGCTAAACCCTCTTCCCACACACAGCTTTCATTTCCTCTTAACACTCTGACCCAAATGAACTGTCCCTATTCAGCAAAACCCTCTAACCTGGAGGCTGTCCTGACATTCTATCCCCAGAGTTAGCCAAGCTCTATTATACATCTTTAGCAACTGATCAGAAAAACGACCTGCCAGCTGTTTCCCTCCCTCTGAGGGCAACTCCCCTGACCCTCCCCGCTATGCCCTGGGTTGCAATTCTGGCCGGAAACCTGCCCATGCCTGTGGCAAAGAAAGTGAGGGTGGCAGGAAACCTTCAGACCTTTCCAGTGTGAGGCAACCGCATCGCTAGGGCTAGGGTGAGGCTGTTAGTGCAGGATTTAAGAAGGCGCTCACTCGCGGGTATGGACCCTGCACTTACAGGACCCTGAGAGCGAGTGCATCCTTAAATATTGCACACCAGGGTCCTCACAGCCTTTGTCCCAGTCCTGGGCTCTGGGTTCTAAGCATCCAGATGCTCCTTCCTCAAACGGAGGTTTCTGCAAGACAGGACTGGATCTCTTTCTTTCTCAGCCCTGCCCTCAGAATTCCAGCCCCTAATCAACTTTCACGGAAATGCGTGCGGGGCCAAAGAGCTGCCCCTGAGCAGCTGTTGACTTAGGAGTTTCGCCAGGGACACACCTGCCCAGAGCCTCTTGCCCCAGAGCCCCACCTGGGTTTATGGTGCCTCCCCCTCCCAGAAACATGAGCACAGGGGTCAGGAACCCAGGTCCTGAGGTCCCTCCTCCCGCAGGACTCAGGATCCCAGGCCCACAGTACCCTCTTCCCTTAAGTTTAAGGAGTCCTAGGCCACCACTCCTCTCGGGGACCCAGCACCCAACTCACGAAGCGCCCGAAGCGGATGGAGTCTCCATCCTCAATGTGCAAGTCAGCCTGGGCCCCACTAAGGCGGGAGATGACAGACTGGCAGCCAGGGAGGAGGGAACGGAGCAGCCCCGAGCCTGTAACGTGGTCCGCGTGGCAGTGGGTATTCACTGGGAGAGAGAGGAGGGACAGGTCCAGGAGGGCATACAGAGAGGACCTGGGAGTCCCAGCCCAGATCTTTCTCCCTCAGACTCAGGAGTTCCCTGGCCCCGTCTTTCCACTCCACTGACTGTAGCCCAGCCCCGCTGGGACCCGAGAGTTTGGTCCCTGGACTGACCAGCATACAGCAGCCGCAGCCCGAGTTCCTTGACCAGCTGGGCATCCCGAGGCGCTGTCTCCAGGACCGGGTCGATCAGAACGGCCTCCCGGGACTCTCTGTCACCCAGCAGGTACGTGTAGGTGCAACTCACCGGCTCGAACATCTGGCAGCGGGGGAGACCCAAGTGAGAGCGCAGACCCGGACTCCCACCCATTAAGGGCCCAGTAGTCCAGACTGGCTCTATCCTCTTCCTAAGATCCAGAAGCAGAAACCCCAGCCCGCTCTTTCCCCTGGAGTCAGGGGCCCCACCACCTTCCTCCAACAGAACGAAAGAGTTCCAACTTTGTAACACCCCCAAATCAGGTTCCCCAGCACGTTCTTTCATAAAGGACCCAGGGGTCCCGCCCGAAGCCCAGGAGCCCGCAGACCATTCACTTTTAAAGAACTCAAGAGTCCAGCCCTAAACCTCCACCCCGCCTTCCGCAAGATCGAGGCGTGGGTCACCCGGATCTCTCCCCGTTAAGAGACCCCGGAGTTCCGCCAGTGCTGCCGCCTAACGCCCAGTAGTGCCCCCCTGGGTCCAGCCACCCGCACCTGCCGCAGAAGGATGGGGGCTTCAGACCTGCCGCGCTGGCTCAGCTGCCGCTGGGTGACCCTCAATACAGCCCCCGCCATCGCGTTCACCGCAGGGTCAGGACTGAGCCGAGGCCGAGCGCCGGCGGCAGAAAGAGGCTCCGGCACTGACCCGGGGCGGGGCGGGGCGGGGGCGGGGCACGCCTTAAAGGGGCCGCGGACGCCTGGGGTGGAGGGCGGGGCGCCGACGAGAGGGGCAGGGGCGAGAGCAAGGGCGAGCGCGAGACGGAGGAAGCCAGAAAGCAACGCAGGGACGGCTCTGAGACCCAGAGAAACAGAGAACAGGGAGACACTCAAAGTGCGAGGGACAGACGCTCGGAGACACACGGGCATGCTCCTGTAGGAACAGAGATGGGGAGAGAAGTAGAAACCCCAGGAGAGGCCCCAGTACACTCAGAGCCTTGGGGCCGGTTTTTTTTTTTTTCTTTGTTTTATATTTTGAGACAGAGTCTCGCTCTGTCACCCAGGCTAGAGTGCAGTGGCGCGACCTCGGCTCACTGCAGCCTTAAACTCCCGGGTTCAAGCGATCCTTCCACCTCAGCCTCCCGAGTAGCTGGGACTATGGCACGATGCCACCACACCCGGCTAATTTTTGTTTTGTTTTGTTTTGTTTTTAGACGGAGGTCTCCCTGTGTTGGCCAGGTTGATTTCAAACTCCTGAGCTCAAGCGTTCCTGCCACCTTGTCCTCCCAAAGTTCTGGGATTACGGATGTGAGTCACCGCGTCCCGTGGGGCCGTTTTCTAGCGGGTGGTTGGATAGTCACTGTTAGAAAAAGATGTTCGGTTCTGGGAAGCAGAGGTTGCAGTATGCCGGAATGGCGCCACTGCACTCCAGCCTGAGACAGAGGGAAACTCCGTCTCAAAAAAAAAAAAAAAAGTTAGGTTCTAGGTCATTAATATTTTGAGGGACTTTTGAGTGGGTGCCTGGTTACCAGAACAACACTTGATCCCAGTAAAGTTCATCCAGAATTGCATAACATTTTATCAGGGATGTTTCTCTCTTTCGAGGAAGAAATCTAAACACACACATACACACACATACACACACACACACACAAACACAAACACCACACACGCACGCACACACACACGGGTCGGGCACGGTGGCTCACACCTGTAATCCCAGCCCTTTGGGAGGAGGTGGGCGGATCACGAGGTCAAGAGATCGAGACCATCCTGGCTAACTTGGTGAAACCCCATCTCTACTAAAAATACAAAAAAAAATTAGCCGGGCGTGGTGGCACGCGCCTGTGGTCCCAGTTACTCAGGAGGCTGAGGCAGGAGAATCATTAGAACCCAGAAGTCAGAGGTTGCAGTGAGCCGAGATCATGTCACTGCCTTCCAGCTGGGCGACAGAGCGAGACTCTGTCTCAAAAAAAAAAAAAAAAGATAATTTTGCATCATCTCTTGAATAATCAGATTGGGAATTATTCATCTTCTGTTGGGGTGTGAACCTCTGAAAACAAATTTTGTTCATTTACACCAAGGACCTGGGGCTGAGAAACTGTGGTCTCAAGTTATGAGCTGTCAGAAAGTTTGCTCTTTGGAATCGTAGCAGTAGTGAGAACAGTACATCCCAGTCTCATCTGGAGGATCTATGTCACTTCGTGAAATCAGAGCAGCCTTGATTTCCGGCTTAGGGGGAGAGCTTCTTTTTTTTTTTTAATTTTCAAAATTTTGGTAGAAACAGGAGTTTGCTATGTTTCCCAGGCTGGTCTCCATAAAAAAAAAAATTAAAAAATTATTTGGGTGTGGTAGCCCACGCCTGTAATTCCAGCTACTAGGGAGGCAGAGGCAGGAGAATTGCTGGAACCCAGCGGGCAGAGGTTGCAGTGAGCCAAGATTGTGCCACTGCACTCCAGGCTGGGCAACAGAGCACGACTCCATCTGAAAAATAAAAAGGGAGAGAGACCGAAGAATCATTGCAAACGAATACAATGTGTGGAGCTCATTTAGATCTTGAGTCAAGCAAATCAAGCATAATAAAAGGATATTTATGAGATATGATGTTTGACATTTAGCTTCAGAATCATTTGGGAAGAGTGGATGGTGGGTAAATGAAACAACACTGGCCATGAGTGATAATTATTATTTTTTAATTTTTTTAAGATGTAAGGTATTGCTTTGTTGCGCAGGCTGGAGTGTAGTAGCACAATCATAGCTCATTGCAGACTTGAACTCCTGCGTCAGTCCTCCCTCCCTGCCCCTGAGAAATAGCTGGGACTACAGGCTGCCACTAAGCCAGGCTAATTTTTTCTGGGTAGGGGCGGCGTGGGGGAGGTGTCTCGCCAAGCTGTGTTGTTGCCCAGGCTGGGTTGTTTTGTTTGGTTGGGTTTTGTTGGTTTTTTGTTTTGAGACGGAGTCTTGCTCTGTTGCCCAGGCTGGAGTGCACTGGCTTGATCTCGGCTCACTGCAACCTCCGCCTTTCGGGTTCAAGCAATCCTCCCACCTCAGCTGAGTAGCTGAGGCTACAAGCCTGTGTCACCACGCCCGACTAATTTTTGCGTTTTTAGTAGAGACGGGGGTTTCACCAAGTTGCCCAGGCTGATCTCGAATTCCTGATCTCGAATTCCTGATCTCAAGTGATCCTTCTGCCTCGTCTCTCAAAGTGTTGGGATTACAGGCTTGAGCTCCCCTGGCCCCAGTCTGGTTTGGAACTCCTGGGATCAAGTGGTCCGCCCATCTCTGCCTCCCAGAGTGCTGGGATTACAGGCGTGAGACAGGGAGCCCGGGCTAGGCACTTTCTATTCTAAACACTTTCCATTATCACATTTAATCCCAATAACCCTCCATTTTATAGATAAGGAAACAGGCCTAGAAAGAGATCTAAAAAGGGTGACACGGCTAGAAAGTGGCACAACCGATCCCAAGCCCGTTACCCAGGCAATCTGGCTCCAAAGTCCAAATAACCCCACCAAACAAACTCCCAGGAATCGCCAAACCTGTGGGGTTATCGGACTGCAGATCCCACCCATGCAGAGGACTGTTATGGGCATTTCCTGGTCCTTCCTGCACCAGGCAGGAAAAGGCACAGCCACTGCTCGAGAAGAATGCCAAGCTGCAGGCCACTCGGGGCCTAGCACTGCGAGCAAGGAAGGGCCAGGGCGCCTCAGGACCACCCAGGCGTCCCAGGGAGCGAGGTCGATGGGGGCATGGCTGAGAATCTTGAATCACCCAATAACGAGGTGTGCCGGGACGCTATGCAAATAATGTGTGTTTTATTGGGCACTGGCTCTCCGGAGTCCCACCCCACCCTCGCCTGAGGAAATGGACAGAATTTTTGCCAACGCCTTGAAGGGTGGAATTAGCAGCACGCTCTTGAAACTGCCTCTGGAGATGGAATCCAGCGGAATTCTCGAAAATAAGAGGGGAGCACGCACTGATCTCCAAGCGCAGTTTGTCCATGTTAGTCTTGCACGTCCTTGACTCCAGTCAGCCACCGTAGGCCCCGCCACCGGCCGTGCACTTTCCTTCGATCCTTTGGCCAGTAGCTTAGCGCTTGCTCACGAACTTGCTTGCCTGCCTGGCCCACCCAGAGTCCCACCTTCTAGTCCGTCTTCCCCCTCCGCAGGCTTTGCCAGCCGCCACTGCGCATGCTTTCTGACGCCCCCTCTGGTCCAGCGTGGGAGGAGGGGATGGAAATGAGGTTGGGCCGAGCAGCTTGCGCGCGCTCCCTTCCTTGCCCTCCCCCGTCGCCGGACTGTGCAACTCCGTGGGGCCGAGGGCAGTGCAGCAGCGACGACGGCAGCTGCGGCCCTGGCCGCGGCGGGAGGAGCCCGAAGCCCCGCCCCCGGGGAGGGGCCGTCCTGCAGGTGAGGGGGCAGGGGGTTCGGGCGCAGATATTGGCTTGCAGGCTGAATACCAGAATCACCCTGAGGGAGATCGGTGGTGGTCCGAACGCCTAGATTCTGGAGGGACTGTGCATTAGTGCCTGAGCCTTGGGAGGGTGCATCGGTGCCTGAATGCCTGAGTCCGAGGGGAGCATTGAATCCTTTACGCTTGGGACTCCAAGGGAAAAGGCCTCTGAAGCGGGATATATGCCACGTTCCTTCCGCATCTTCCTCCAGGTCCCCCCTCCATCCTCCACGGTCCCATCCAAGCCAGGGATGAAATTTAACAGCAAGAAGGACGCAGTTGACGCGGCGTCAATGAACTAAGTCAAAACCCGGCTAAAGCTAGCTCTTCGACGTAAAGCCCCACCCAGTGAACTCATAGGCCTTTCCCCTGGGACGCTGATGAAAGACCTGTCCACTCCGCTCGAAGGCCCCCGCCCCCTTGTTCCAGTTTCTGAACAAAGGACTTTGGTCCTATTGGCATAGCTCCACCCATTCCAGGGCGGCAGGGTCAGGTGGGGAAGGTCCCGCCCACTCTGGGCATACGCCCCACCCGCTCCGAGCTCTGGACGGCAGCAGAGTTAAGAGTTGTGGAGACTTGGCCGGGCGCGGTGGCTCAAGCCCGTAATCCCAGCACTTTGGGAGGCCGAGGCGGGTGGATCACGAGGTCGAGAGATCGAGACCATCCCGGTCAACATAGTGAAACCCCGTCTGTACTAAAAATACAAAAAATTAGCTGGGCATAGTGGCACGTGCCTGTAATCCCAGCTACTCGGGAGGCTGAGGCAGGAGAATTGCCTGAACCCAGGAGCCGAGATCGCACCATTGCACTCCAGCCTGGGTAACAAGAGCGAAACTCTGTCTCAAAAAAAAAAATAAATAAAAATAAAAAAAGAGTTGTGGAGACTCCGTCAACTCTGCTCAAAGACTCCAACCCTGGGTTTAGGTAGCGAAGGGACTATCTCTGAATTAAATTTGCATAGCCCCGCTCATTGTGCTTAGGCTCCGCCTCCCGCTAAGCCAGCCCTTGCCTTAGCATCCCATAGTAACAGACCTCGCTCCTAAACAGTCTGACCCCTCATTTTAGGCCCTCCAACCCTACCCCTATCAGCCTGGTAATCACTGACTCACCCCCGCCGCACGCCCTGCCCCTAGGTTCCTGTGCCAGCAAGATGCTGGAAGGAGGCGCGGAGTCCATGGCCGGGGCCACGGATCCTAGTCCCACTGGCAAGGAACCAGTGACCAAAGAAGGTGAGAGTGGCGCCGCCTGTGAGTAGGGAGCATTCTCCAGGAATGCGGACTAAGATCATCACATTCTGGGGGAATTTCAGGGTGAAAGTTTGAAGCCCAGGGTGACTGACTATTTGGGATCCCCAAAAATGCCACGTTCTGGGAAACCCTCCCATTTGGCTCAGAGAGAGCCTCAGCCATTTGCTAGGGCTCAGAAAATTACAGAAGGGACGGGGCAGGGATGACATGCAGGATTTCAGGGGATCACTGGGAAGATAATAGAACCGGATACCTTGGTAGCTTTGACGAAGCCTAGGTAGCTTTGGGGATCCAGAACAGTAACCCTTTGGAGTCCCTCAGGATGATGCCCAGGGGGAGAGGGGAGCAGAAACATGCCATTTGGGGAGTCTCAATGTGATGCTTGAGGTGCCCAGATACACTTGGAGGAGCGCCTCGAATATCCAAGTCGTAGTGGAGCCTGGTCTAGGTCCGGGGCGTTGGCTGCTTCCGGGAGCCCACCGGCCCTCCTGTTCCCTAGCTCCCCACCAGGGCCCACCGCAGAAGCCCAGCCAGTCGTCTGCGGGCGCGCCTCCCCGGCCCCGCCGGCGGCCCCCACCCCAGCGCCCACACCGGTGCCCGGACTGTGACAAGGCCTTCTCGTACCCGTCCAAGCTGGCCACGCACCGCTTAGCACACGGCGGCATCCGACCCCACCCATGCCCAGACTGCCCCAAGGCCTTCTCCTACCCCTCCAAGCTGGCAGCTCACCGCCTCACGCACAGCGGCGCCCGCCCACACCGGTGCCCACACTGCCCGAAGGCCTTTGGCCACCGCTCCAAGCTGGCGGCTCACCTCTGGACCCACGCGCCCACCCGCCCCTATCCGTGCCCCGACTGCTCCAAGTCTTTCTGCTACCCTTCCAAACTGGCGGCCCACCGCCACACCCACCACGCCACCGACGCCCGCCCCTATCCTTGCCCGCATTGCCCCAAGGCTTTCTCATTTCCCTCCAAGCTGGCCGCCCATCGCCTATGTCACGATCCCCCCACTGCACCCGGCAGCCAGGCCACAGCCCGGCACCGATGCTCCAGCTGCGGCCAGGCCTTTGGCCAGAGACGCCTCCTGCTCCTTCATCAACGGAGCCACCACCAGGCGGAGCGCAAGGGGGAGAGAGACTGAGTCCTCCCTTGGGCTCACTGTCCCCTTCTGCCTCTAGCCCTCGCCAGTAAGAGGTGGGATTTCTAAGCCCGGCTGTATGAGCTCGCCTCTTCCAGACAGCTGGCAGGGCAAGGGATTGGCCATTTATACTGGGCTCAAACTCAAAAGCCCGAGGAACTGTTTGCTCCCCTGCATTGGGGAGAATAAAGCATCAACCACACTTTTAGCACTGGGTCTCAAACCACAGACGTGAAGCTGTGGTTTGACAGCGCCAGCTCTGCTTCTCCCCACACACTTACATGTCAAGGGTAAAAAAGTCTCCTACGACTGTAGGCTGATGAGGATTGTGGGCAAACAGGCTCTCTTGTTGTTACAAGTTTAAATTGGTGTCTCTCCTTTGGCCGTATGACTGTATCTAAGAAACTGAAAATACATACATGTTTGTTTCAACTCTTCCACTTCTAGGAATTTATTCTATAAATTCGTGCATGTGGAAAAAAAACATGTATAAGGGTGTTCACCACAGTGTGACTGTTGTGGCCAAAGATTGGAAGCGACTCAAGTGCCCAAAAACAGGTGACCGACTACTGAATCACAGCCATGGAATGGAATAGGTAGCCATAGGAAAAAGGGAAGCACTATATGTACTGATATGGAAAGATCTCCAAGATACACTAGGTGATAAAAGCAAGAACAAAGCCTATACCACTGATCTTTTAAAGACATTGAAAAGCCCAAGCTTCAGGCTGGGTATGGTGGCTCACACCTGTAATCCCAGCACTTTGGGAGGATGAGGTGGGAGGAGAGCTGGAGGCTAGAAGTTCAAGAGCAGCCTGAGCAACATAATAAGACCCCATCTCTACCAAAAAAAGAAAAACAAAACCTGGGTGTGGGTGTGGTGGCATGAGCCTGTAGTCCCAGCTACTTGGGAGGCTGAGGTGGGTAACCACTTGACCTAGCAGGTCAAGGCTGCAGTAAGCTGTGATCATGCCACTGCCTTCCAGTCTGCGTGACAGAGCAAGAGCCCATCTGTAAAAGAGAAAAAAAGTCCAAGCTTCAGAGCCATCCCTGACCCATTTCTTAGAAGTTGCCAGGCCTTTGACAAGTTTTGTCACTCCTGTGGACTCAGATGCCTTCACTGTAAAATGGGTGGGTTATAAGGCATCTGTAAGGGGCAAGAATCGCTTCAGGCAAAGTCAGTTCCCCTTTTGGAGCTGTTTCTCCCATTATAAAATAAGGATGAGCAAGCTTAACACTGGATTGTTCTTCATCCATTCTACAAATATTAAGCACCTCCTGTGTGCTGTATGGGGTGTTGTGGGCACAGTGCTGAAGACAGACCTGGTCTAGTGAGGAAAGTGGACACTGATTTTAAAAAGCAGCAGGCCAGGCACAGTGGCTTAGGCCTACAATCCCAGCACCTTGGGAGGCCGAGGCAAGTGGACCACTTGAGGTCAGGAGTTCGAGACCAGCGTGGCCAACATGGCAAAACCTCGTCTCTACTGAAAATACAAAAACTGGCTGGGCATGGTGGTGCGGACCTGAAATCCCAGCTACTTGGGAGAGGAGGCTGAGGCATGAGAATCGCTTGAACCCAAAAGGCGGAGGTTGCAGTGAGCCAAGATTGTGCCACTGCACTGGGCAACAGAGACTCTACCTCAAAAAAAAATAAATAAATAAAAGGCAGAAGCAGCAAAGTCATTCATTCATTTATGTATGTATATATGTATGTATGTATGTATGTATGTAGAAGCAGGGTCTCTCTATGTTGCCCAGGCTAGTCTGAACTCCTGGAGTTAAGCAGTCCTCCCACTTTGGCCTCCCAAAGTGCCTCTAGTCCATTTAGAAGTACAAGCAGGAGAGCCTTGGTTCCCTACCCGCTCAACCCAGATACAAGAATTATTACAAACCTCTGCAGTAATGAAATTGGTGGTGTTGGCTTGAAAACAGGCCAGATGAAGGTAACTGAGAGCTCAGAAACAGACCTGTGCTTATGCTGACATATGACAAACTGGACGTACAGATTTGAGAGTGGCAACCTTTTACTACAAAAGGCCAAAGAATACAGACAGTCCCTGACTTATAATGGTTTAAGGATATTCCAACTTTATGATGAGTTCATCTGGGTGTAGCACCACTGTTAAGTCAAGGAGCATTTTTTTTTTTTTTTTCTTTCAGACAAGGTCTTGCTCTGTTGCACAGGCTCGAGTACAGTGGCATGCTCTGAACTCCTGGGCTCAAGGGATCCTCCTACCTCAGCCTCCCAAGTCGCTGGGGCTATAGGCATGCATCACCACACCTAGCTAATTTATTTATTTTTATTTTTGAGACAGAGTCTTGCTCTGTCACCCAGGTTGGAGTGCAGTGGCACGATCTCCGATCACTGCAAACTCTGCCTCCTGGGCTCAAGGATTCTCCTACCTCAGCCTCCCGAGTAGCTGGGATTACACGTGTGCACCACCATGCCCAGCTAATTTTTGTATTTTTAGTAGAGATGGGGTTTTGCCATGTTGGCCAGGCTGGTCTCAAACTCCTGACCTCAAGTGATTTGCCTGCCTTGGTCCCCCAAAGTGCTGGGATTACAGACATGAGCCACCTAACCCAGCCCACAGCCAATTAAAAAAAAAAAAATTTGTAGAGATGGGGTCTTGCTATGTTGCCCAGGCTGGTCTCAATCTCCTAGCCTCAAGAGATCCTCCTGCCTTGGCCTCCCAACATTCTGGGATTCCAGGCATGAGCAACCGCACCCGGCTCCATCTGTATCTATTATATTTTTAAGTTTTGCAGGCCATACAGGGTCTACCACAACTATTCCACTCTGCCACTGTAGCAGGAAAGCAGCCACACACATTACAATACATAAATGAATGAGCATGGCTGTATTCTAGTATTTACCAAAACTCTAGGTAGGCTGGATTTTGCCTATTGGCTGTAGTTTGTCGAGCCTTGACATGGATGAGTGGAGGATGGACAGACTAACCAGTAAATAAGGCTGAGAAACACGGGGGGAAATTAGGTTGAATCCCCTGGTGTGCATAAGAATGATCCCGCAAAGATATCCATATTTGAATCCCCAGAACCTGTATGTTAGCTTACATATAGCAAAAGGGACATTGCAGATGTGACTAAGATGGGAAAGTTATCCTGATTATTCAGATAGGCCCAATATAATCACAAGGGTCCTTATATGGGAAAGAGGGAAGCAGGAGACAGAGAAAGAGAGGGGATCATGAAATCAAATATTCAAGTGATGAAAGGCCCCAAGGAATTTTGCCTAGAAAAGGCAAGGAAGTAATTTCCTCCTTAGAGCCTCCAGAAGGAATGCAGCCCTGCTGACACTTGATTTTAGCCCAGTTAGGCTGATTTTGGACTACTGACCTCCAGAACTATAATAAAATTAACTTGTGTAGTTTAAAGCCACTAAGTTACAGCAACAATGGGAAACTACTGCAGATCCCTACCTCACACCATACACAAAAATAAGTTTCTGGGGGTTTCAGATCTAAATTTGAAGAGAAAAACTCAAAAATATTTACATAGAAATAAGGATAATTATCTTAGTAACCCCAGAAGTAGAAACAGTATCCTTAAGAGAAAAAGGAGTGTAAATCATAGATGAAAAGATGGGTAAACGTGACCATAAACAAATGTAGACTTATGACTAGGATGGAGAAGATGTAGTATTTTAAGAGTATATACCTAGCATATCCTAGTATATAGTGGAAGTTAGGAAAGGCCTTGTTGAGGAGGTAATGTTTGAGCTGAGATCTGAAAGTTGTGGAGGAAGGAGCGAGAGAGTAGAAAGTGTCCATAGACTAGATTAAGAAAATGTAGTATATATACACTACGGAATACTATGCAGCCATAAAATGGAAGGAGATCACAACCTTTGCAGGGACATGGATGGAGCTGGAAGCCATTATCCTCAGCAAAGTAACAACACAGGAACAGAAAACCAAACACTGCATGTTCTCACTTATAAGTGAGAGCTGAATGATGATAACACATGGACACAGCTGGGCATGGTGGCTCATGCCTGTAATCCTAGCACTTTGGGAGGCTGAGGCAGGTGGATCACCTGAGGACAGGAGTTCAAAACCAGCCTGGCCAACATGGTGAAACTTCTACTAACAAGTGGCAGGTGCTTGTAATCCCAGTTACTCAGGAGGCTGAGGCATGAGAGTTGCTTGAACCCAGGAGGCCGAGGTTGCAGTGAGCCAAGATTGTGCCACTGCACTCCAGCCTGGGCAACAAGGTGAGACCCTGTCTCAAAAAAAAAAAAAAAAACGCATGGCGGGAACAACACACACCAGGGCCTGTCAGGGTGGAGGCAGGGGGCCAGGAACAGCATTAGGAAAAATAGCCAGTGGATGCTGGGCATAATACCCAGGTGATGGGATGATCTGTACAGCAGACCACCATGGCGACCACCATGGCATATATCACCTATGAAACAAAACTGCACATCCTGCACATGTACCCCAAACTTAAAATAAAAGTAGGAGAAAAGAAAGTGTCCAGCCGAAGGGCTAGGAGTGAGCAGGCAAATGGAAGTCAGCAGGCTGCTGCACTGCGCTCTACTCAGTGAGGCCTTTCGGGGAAGGTTCTGCAAGGGGGAAGGGTTCTACCCTGTCCTCCAAACCTGGCAGTGCTGCTTCTATCCATGTTTATACAGAGAGCTGTCCTGGAAGAGTTTCTCCAAAGCAGCCGCACCAGGAGCAAAGTTTCAAGGACACAGACTCATTTGAGAGGGCATTGATCTGGTCCAACCTTACTTTTATAGATGAGGGAAATGAGGCCAGGAAAGATGAGATTTATTGGCAACCAAACAACAGGGCAGTGCCTGAGTCTGGGTGGATCCTGGGTCTCTTGATAGTCAAGACACCCACCCAGCTGTTCCTTGAACACAGAACGCTCTTTCCTGCCTCGAGGCCTTTGCACTTGCTTTTCCTCTGCCTGGAAGAACTCTCTCAGATACTCCTTACTTCTCCCAGGTCCCTGCAGACGGGTAAGTCCTCTGAGAGGCCATCCCCAATCACCCTATCTAAACTACCCTGCCATTGCTCTGTCACTCACAATGCTGTTTTCCCTGCTTTCACAGCATTTCCCACTGTCCAAGGCTGCATTGCACATGCACCATCTCTCTCCCACTTTACAATGTCAGGCCAATGAGATCAGGGACTACTGCCTGTTTTTTTCATACTGTCTTCCCAGTGTCTCCCACATGGTGGCTGTAGCAGGCAGAGTAATGGCCTCCCAAAGATGTTCACATCCCAGCAGGGCGCGGTGGCTCAGGCCTGTAATTCCAGCAGGTCGAGGTCGAGGAGATCGAGGCTGAAGTGAACAGTGATTGCCCCACGGCACTCCAGCCTGGGCAACAGAGCAAGACCCTTTCTCCAATAATAATAATAACAATATAAAGCAACCCTCATCTTAAAGATGCAAAAACAAAAGTCCATAAAGAGACAGGAGACTGGTAGCCCTTGGCTGATGAGGCAAAATTTGAGAAAGGGCTTG